GTGAAAGAAAAGAAGGTGTGTTGCGATGAGTTGATGGTCATCGCTCGTTAAAATGAAAAATTATACTTTCCACCGAGCGCTCTGTCCAGTTGAATTCTTTCATGTCCCAGATTGAATGAAAAAAAAATAAAAAAAACGTTTCTTTTTTCGAATTCTCTTCCCTTTTCCACAACTTGCATCTGCAAGTTTGGATGGGCCGTATAAATTTTTTGCTCAGCTGCCCCGAGGTCGAGGGCCAATTAGACTCTTGTCTCGGAAAGAAAGTGGTACAGAGTCCAGCGCGGGTTATGGTTCCATACCAACGGAGATATACTTCAAACAATAATTATTATTATTGGCGTCATTTTGAGCAATAACCGACCTCTGTACTGCACCAAACGGTGAAAGTATGTTTGAGGGGCGGGGAGGGGCGAGTCACAATGCACAATTTCTTCCCATAATTCTTTTTTTCGGTGTGTCGATATGGTTCAGTTACAATTACCGTGAAATTTGCTTGCGGAAGAATGAGGTTGATGTCAATGCTGAATCATGAATATTAGCGTCGTGAACACTCCTTGAAATTTCAGGGGAACTAAACGGCGATGCATGGAGAGAGAAGTTGGATAAAAATTGTCTAGAAGTCGTGGAAAATTTTAATGTACGAAAGGTCATCATGACGCGAAATCTTATTCAGTGAATAAATACCTTTTGGTGGAGGATATTTTACGATTTACGCGATAAAAAAACACACATCTATGGATGCAAAAATTATTCATAAATAAATTTGTTTGAGCTTTTCGGAAATAGACATTGAATTTGATTTAAGGAGAAAAAAATGACGAAAATTCCATGAATTTTCAAGTGAAAATGAATATTTATTCCAAGTTTCCTTGAATTTTCAAGAAATTGCATTAAAATTCTGGGAATTCCAGCTATTTTTGACGGAATTCCTTGAAAATTCAGAGGAATCTGGAATTCAAGGGGAGATTACTCTGAATTTTCCTGGTTTTCATTCATTTTCCGGGAATAATTAAACTGAAATTTTGTCATGAAATTATGAATTTTTAATGCTAAAATTGATTGAAATTTTAGTGGAAATACTGTTTTTATCGGAAATTTCAGTAAAATTTTTAACAGTGGAAATTACTCGACTTGTTCGGTAACTTTTCTCAAACTTTTTTCTTCGTGTGGACTGACGTTTGGTAACTCCGTATCTTCAAACGAAACAATGTCAACCTAGATAATCACCAAAAGTATTCTGTTCACTCGAAACAACAGTGATTTATTAAAACAATATTTCTCTCGAAAACAAAGTCGCGATGCGAGACTTATCCGGAGCTCCGCAGCCGTTCCAATATTACAGTACATTTGCAGAAGCTCGCACAAGCCGTCTCCCTAATACGCCCCAGCATGCGACAGGTGACCACCCAGCCACAAACTTTGAATTAAATTATAATCAAATTACACAGAGCGGAATTTATGTTTCAACTATCAGGAATGATAAATAAGCACGGTAGATAATCCAGGTGAAATTGAAACAAATTTGTTTAATAAATAACTATTTCATAAATCAGTAATCAATGAGTTTGAAAAATCAAACTCAGATATTTAGAATTAATTCTGTAATTCATTAGCGAAGTGGTAAAAGGAGACAAGTCAATTTTGACTATTGACCAGTTTTCAATCAATATCTCGGGATCTAAGGAAGATGACAAAATTTTTTTTATAACCTTTTTTGTGGAGCCGATTGAGTGCTGCAACAAATGTTATTACGGAAATTTCGCTATCTCCCTCAGATTCGGAAATATTTCTCAAAAACTCAACTGGGAGGTAAGTCGACTTATCTCCGTTTACCACTTCACTACTGAATCACAATTGAGAATTGAAAATCATTTTAGAATTCAAATAAAAAAGTAAGGAACTTCGATTAATCTGCGGTAAAAGTCTTTTAAAATTACTTAGTAACGATTTTTGCCGATCCCAGCTTAATATTATGGATCCCGACTCTGACTTCCACAGACAGCTTTGCCCCCTCCCCTCACAACAAGTATAATTAATAGCACACGTTCCACCGCAGAGTGGACTGTCAGTCTTCAGCACGATTTCTCTCTCTCTCTCTCTCTCTCTCTCTTGGTGTATCCACTGGCCTNTCTCTCTCTCTCTCTCTCTCTCTCTCTCTCTCTCTCTCTCTCTCTCTCTCTCTCTCTCTTGGTGTATCCACTGGCCTTTCTGGTAGCTGAAGGGAATAATTGGTAGGTTTCCGGTAATGTCAAAGGTGAAGACTCCGTTGTCTGCCGCTTATATTCCTGGAATTTGTCTTTAAAAGCTTCAGCCGATTTTCACCTCCTCCACTCGCTCGTTTTATCCTGCATTCGGAATTCAATTTTCTGGTTATCTCCGAATTAACTATTAATGTACATTAAATTTCTGCTGAAGTATGGGTTTCTTATCTCGGGAATTTACATGTGGAGCCTCGGGAATGGCGGGTCGAAAACATGGACGGGTTTTTCGTTCGTCTCTTTTTTCAAGGAGACGAACCGGAATCTCAATCACTCCTGTCACTGTTAATCCGTCATATTTCACGACTAACCTTTGACTGCTGCTCTCTCCTCACCGCCCCCGCGTCCGCTGAATTCACTGGAATCGTTACTACTGTTGGAAATCATGGATTAAAGTTCAATAAAATGCAATCGTAAAACTCGCATGCCCGTTTTACGGTCAAGGAGGTATTTTTTTTTTATATTCCTGGATTCTTATGGATTTCGCGTATCTCGGATTGTATGCGCATACTTCGGGAGGTAAGACCACTTCAACTCTCGTAAATATTCGAGTAACAATACTGGAATATTCAAATCGAGATGGATGTTTGAGGATTTTTTTCCTCTTTTATATTCACAATTTCTCGTAAAATCAGTGTCAAATATTTGGTTCCGAGAATTGAGAGATATTTATGGCAAATGCTGTGGACTTTTGATACTTTATTGAGACCTTTTTGGAGCAATTTAACACATTATTTTCCAATGGGTTCTCAAAAATTCGTCAACTCGTTATTGATAATTTCAGGTACTGTTAAATTTGGGCTGAATTTTCGGGAAAAAAACCTTGTAGTCGCTTTAACGGGACAAAAGTGAAGGGAATTTGACGATTTTCTGAAAATTCATGTGAAACTCCAATTTTTTATTGGCAAGTAGACGAAAATTCCACTATTTACATGAATTTTCAAGAAAAAATGAATATTCACCACCAAAATACATTGCATTTCTATAGAATTTCTTTAAAAATTTTGGTATTCCAGGATTTTTTTTGGGAACACCCCGAAATTTCAGAGGAATTTGAAATTCAAGGAAAGATTTCTCTGAATTTTCCTAATTTTTAATTCATTTTCCCGGAATAATTAAATTGAAATTAATTCTTTTCACGAATTTTTTCATAAAATTCTGAATTTTCAATGACAAAATTCCTTGAAATTCCAGTGGAAATATCAGTTGTCAAAAATTTCCAAGACTCTTACCTCGAATTTCAGTAAAAAATTGTTGACTGTGTAAACTATTAGAAAAATTTGGCTGAATTTACCGCAAAAAATCTTGAATTCAATTTAAGTCGCAAAAGTCAATGGAATTTCAAGTTTCTCTCCAAATTCATATGAAGTTCCTATTTGTTAGCGGCAAGCAGACAAAAATTCCACAATTTACATGACTTTTAAAGAAAAAATGAATATTTACTACCAAATTACTTTGAATTTTTATAGAATTTCTTTAAAATTTTTAAAATTCCAAGAATTGTTTGAGAAACTCTCTGAAAATTCAGAGGAATTTGCAATTCAAGGAGAAATTCTTCTGAGTTTTTCGGATTATTCATTAATTTTCCCGGAATTAAACAGAAAATTGGAGTTTACATGGATTTTTTCATGGAATTATGCATTCTCAATGAGAAGATTCCGTGAAAATTCTGAACAGTATAATTTTTACCTAAATATTTCCAATACATAATAGTGCTTCGCATTTCATCCCCTCGCCTCCCAATTTTCCTCGCCAACTGAATCACAACAATGGATCAATGAACCACTCGATATGACATTGATGAATGAACGGGGCACTTCACATGTTTTTTCTCATAAAAAAAATATTAAACAAAAATCACCGGATGTGGATAATCCTGTCTGGTCCAGTGGGCACCGGAGAACGATAGCAAAAAGAGAGAACGCAGAGGGGTACGAGGAGAAAAAACGAGAGAAGTCCGTGAAAAATGGCCCCTGAGGGATCTCCGGACACCGTCTAATTCTGTTGTGAAAACTCGGTCTCGCGTGGCTGCGATGAAGACGACACCTTGAGACATTTTATGGCGACTCCCGTCTTATCTCGGATCACCTTTTTCCTCATTTCTTCATCATGTTTGATGGTAAAAGCGGTGATAGAGGAATTGACTGTCCGTTGGAGGAGAGTCACTGCTGGCTGATACGTATTTGTCTGCACGGAGAGAATAGGTGGTTAAAAATTACCTAGAAAATCCTGGCAAATTTTACTGTACGAAATGTAATTCAATGAAAAAATACCTGTTTGCGGAACATATTTTACGTTTCGTTGGGTAGAAAATATATCTATGGAGTAATTCAAGTAATTGATTCAATTCAATCAATTTATTAATTGCTAAAGATACATAACTTCGCACGCAGTTGAGTCCGAGAGGCTTATCCGTGATTATTACAGTAAACACCTCATTTTTCTATCATTTTCTTAATTTTCATATTCATATTATGCAGAAGTGGGGACAGCAATTATGTCATCTTCCAATGATTTAAAATATTTTTACTTAATATATTTTTTATTCACTTATTTATGTATTTCACTGCATGTCAGAAACTTTTTCACTCAGGACACTCAAGGAAAAATGTGGAAATCTCTGTTTAATTGTCGTTTCATATAGAAGCAACCCATTTCCAAACTGTACGGAGCAAATGTGCATTCACCTATTTGAAAATGACTGCAGAAGAGTGCACGCGCGACTTCTCAAACTCCTCCTCATTAACGTAATTTGATATTGACAAGCACTGATAGATATGATATCGACGTAAAAACGTACTGCAACATAAATGAAATACAGCATATAATATATTATCATTGATTAAGTCTATTCAATTGAAATTAATTGTAGACAAACCTCTCTGAAAAGACTCAGGGACAGCACAAAATATTTGCCCGCAGTAAGGCTGAGCGGAACTCTCGAGTGGCGAATAATGAACATCAAATGACGCGCAATTTTTGGGTCTTTTGTCATCCATTCAGTAGAGTAGGCAATATCACCGAGAGCTTCACTTTTTTGTTGCACCATTTCTGCCATCCAGCAGTACAGAAAAACGGTTGGAAAGTTCAACAACAGATAGAACGAATACTTGATGAGCTGCGCATAGTCCCTGTCAATGAATGTCTAAACAAACAAGAACATTAAAATATGATTCTCCTTTATTGGTTTGAATTTTCACCTCTGAAACGAGAAATCCATTAATGGCGAACTGAATAACAGATTGACTGAGTTGTAGGAACATAGTCTTGTGAAAATAGCCGTCAATTCGTGCAACGAATTCGTAAATTCCTACGTGAGAATCAACAATGCACTTCAAACAACTGCATCTCTGCAATATATCTTCTCCTAGTGAATGACGGATTTTTCCTTCATGCGCTTGTATTCGGCTGCCTAGTTTAACCAGCTGTCCACAAATATGGGTAGTCAACAAAATGAAACATAAGTTGATGCCCATCTCTGTGATCCGCATTGTTAGAAGTGTTATCTCTCTGATGATGGAGATGCAAGCCGAAATGAATGCTTTACTAGAGAAGGGCAAATCCTGGGTATCATCCGGTGTCGTCACTGGTTTCCTTGCAATAAACTTTTCGAATAGTTGAAGTCCAACTGAATAGTGAAGTAAGCGATCAATACCAATAACTGTTATTTTTAATTACTACCCGAATTCACGTACCGATCAAACCGAAACCCTTTCCTATAACTACTATCCACGAAAAGAATCTTGAACGTCTGGCATAATGATGCAGGATTTCCTCATCTTCAAAAAAAACTGTCTTCCAATTTCCACGCATTTCTTCCAATATCGAGAGAAAAGTATTTGCATTCGAATAAAGTGAAATCAGAGACGCTATGTAGGGAGTGAAAAATGAGATTGCAGACATGCGAGCTACGATTTCATTCATCCCGAGTACCAGATCAATCGTAAATCCAACCATAATCAGCAATGCAGAAAAAAATCGGATTCTAGTCATTTTTCCAGTTTCCGGCCAGAGCCCACTTGGCCAAAGAGCCAATCGAGCAATTTGAATTTCCCATTCGTAATTTTCATCACTTGAATACTTATAGAATGGTCTGTTCCACATTTGACGAAGCCAGTCCATTTTGTGGATGCTCACTCTGCAATTCCAGGAGAAGTCCTCTTTGAAGTTCTCACTTTGTCGTTTCAGTTTGGAGACTGACGCATGTTTTCGTCATCGAAGGTGACAGCCATAAATGTAATTACTATACCAGGTAATTTGAGGAGATATTTGACTAAATTCAATTAATTAATGAGTATGCAACTCCGAGTATTGGGTTCTTGGATCGATTCTCTCATTAGCCATTCGTTAAATAAATTTCGTTAATTATAGAAAACAAGGAATGGTTTCTATGGATACGAGTACAACAACTGAGGTGAAAATGCAAGTGGGTCACTGTTTTACGATGTTACTTTGAAATACAAGCACATTTCTCGGAATTGATGACAGTCATGCGCCCATATCAATTATGAGTGCTGACGAAAATGATACTAATTTCAACGCACGCTGCAATAAAAATGTAATTGAAAAACTACATCTCTACTGGGCTAAGTCAGGAAGAAATAGACACCTTTATTGTACAATCACAAAACATCGTTTTATTGATGATTTTTTTATTGACGAACCTTCTGAATTTATCTTCTAATCCAGTCGTACATCTATTGGTTGTTTAGGCTGCATATTTTTGTCACAATAAAATTTATAATGTTACCAAGAATTAATGAAGTTTTTCCCACAATTTTCTACGGAATTCCCCACAAAATTGACACACCGGGAAATTTTCTAGTGCCAGCGCTAGAATTTTTCTCGTGCTTCTTTGCAAAAATTAATTGACTTGCAGCAAAATTTCCGTGCGGAACTAGAATTTTTATTCTTATTTCGATTAAAATATGGGAGTTCGGCAGTTTGCGTCTCGTTTCTGGTGCCGAGCACTAGAATTTTTCCCCGACTTTTCTCTCCGTGTGCAGAGAGAGTAGTAAAAAGTAAAAAGTGAAACTAAAAGTACTCCAAAGTTCACACATCTTTGATATACCAATGGTACGCACGACCCATGGATGGAAATCAAGAATTAGGAATTAATGTTGCCTCACAATTGTACATTCACCTATTTGAAAATGACTGCAAAAAAGTACATAAGATTCCGCTCATTATAGGCCCGAGCAGCTTCTCAAACTCTTCCTCATTGACGTGCTTTGATATTGACAAGCACTGATAGATATGACATCGACGTAAAAGCGTACTGCAACATAAATGAAATACAGCATATAATATATTATCATTGAGTAAGTCTATTCAATTGAAATTAATTGTAGACAAACCTCTCTGAAAAGACTCATGGACAGCACAAAATATTTGCCTGCAGTAAGGCTGAGCGGAACTCTCGAGTAGCGAATAATGAACATCAAATGACGCGCAATTTTTGGGTCTTTTGTCATCCATTCAGTAGAGTAGGCAATATCACCGAGAGCTTCACTTTTTTGTTGCACCATTTCTGCCATCCAGCAGTACAGAAAAAAGGTTGGAAAGTTCAACAACAGATAGAACGAATACTGGATGAGCAGTGCATAGTCCCTGTGAATGAATGCCTAAACAAGCAAGAACATTGAAATATGATTCTCCTTTATTGGTTTGAATTTTCACCTCTGAAACGAAAAATCCATTAATGGCGAACTGACTAACAGATTGACTGAGTTGTAGGAACATAGTCTTGTGAAAATAGCCGTCAATTCGTGCAACGAATTCGTAAATTCCTACGTGAGAATCAACAATGCACTTCAAACAACTGCATCTCTGCAATATATCTTCTCCTGGTGAATGACGGATTTTTCCTTCATGCGCTTGTATTCGGCTGCCTAGTTTAACCAGCTGTCCACAAGTATAGGTAGTCAACAAAATGAAACATAAGTTGATGCCCATCTCTGTGATCCGAATTACTAGAAGTGTTATTTCTGTGATGATGAAGATGCAAGCCAAAATGAATGCTTCACTGGAGAACGGTAAATCCTGGGAATCATCCGGTATCGTCACTCGTTTTCTTGCACGAATTTTTTCGAGTAGATGAGCTCCAACTGAATAGTAAAGTAAGCGATCAACACCAATAACTGTTATTTTTAATTACTACCCAAATTCACGTACTGATCAAACCGAAACCCTTTCCCATAACCACTATCCAAGAAAAGAATCTTGAACGTCTGGCATAATGATGCCGGATTTCCTCATCTTCAAAAGAAACTGTCTTCCAATTTCCACGCATTTCCTCCAATATCGAGAGAAAAGTATTTGCATTCGAATAAAGTAAAATCAGAGAGGCTAGGTGGACAGTGCAAAATACGGTTGCAGACACGAGAGTTACGATGTCATTTATGTTGAGTATCGCAAAAATCGTAAACCCAACCACAATCAGCAATGCAGAAAAAAATCGGATTCTAGTCATTTTTCCAGTTTTCGGCCAGATCCCACTTGGCCAAAGAGCCAATCGAGCAAATTGAATTTCCCATCCGTAATTTTCATCACTTGAATACTCATGGAATGGTCTATTCCACATTCGACGAAGCCAGTCCATTTTGTGGATGCTCACTCTGCAATTCCAGGAGAAGTCCTCTTTGAAGTCCTCACTTTGTCGTTTCAGTTTGGAGACTGACGCATGTTTTCGTCATCGAAGCCCGCGAAGGTGACAGCCATAAATGTAATTACTATACCAGGTAATTTGAGGAGACATTTGACTAAATTCAATAAATTAATGAGTATGCAACTCCGAGTATTGGGTTTTTCGATCGATTCTCTCACTAGCCATTCGTTAAATAAATTTCGTTAATTATAGAAAACAAGGAATGGTTTCTATGGATACGAGTACAACAACTGAGGTGAAAATGCAAGTGGGTCACTGTTTTACGATGTTACTTTGAAATACAAGCACATTTCTCGGAATTGATGACAGTCATGCGCCCATATCAATTATGAGTGCTGACGAAAATGATATTAAGTTCAACGCACGCTGCAATAAAAATGTAATTGAAAAACTACATCTCTACTGGGCTAAGTCAGGAAGCAATAGACACCTTTATTGTACAATCACAAAACATCGTTTTATTGATAATTTTTTTATTGACGAATCTTCTGAATTTATCTTCTAATCCAGTCGTACATCTATTGGTTGTTTAGGCTGCATAGTTTTGTCACAATAAAATTTATAATGTTACCAAGAATTAATGAAGTTTTTCCCACAATTTTCTACGGAATTCCCCACAAAATTGACACACCGGGAAATTTTCTAGTGCCAGCTCTAGAATTTTTCTCGTGCTTCTTTGCAAAAATTGATTGACTTACAGCAAAATTTCCGTGCTGAACTAGAATTTTTATTCTTATTTCGATTAAAATGTGGGAGTTCGGCAGTTTGCGTCTCCTTTCTGGTGCCCAGCACTAGAATTTTTCCCCGACTTTTCTCTCCGTATACAGAGAGAGTAGTAAAAAGTCGCACTCTTCACTGTGAAATCATCCCAATATTTGATTGACGTAAACCAAAAGTACTCCAATGTTCACACATCTTTGATATATCAATGGCACGCACGACCCATGGATGGAAATCAAGAATTAAGAATTAATGTTGACTCACAATTGTACATTCACCTATTTGAAAATGACCGCAAAAAGTACACAAAATTCCGCTCATTATAGACCCGAGCGGCTTCTCAAACACTTCCTCATTGACGTAATTTGATATTGGCAAGCACTGATAGATATGATATCGACGTAAAAACGTACTGCAACATAAATGAAATACAGCATATAATATATTATCACTGATTAAGTTTATTCAATTGAAATTAATTGTAGACAAACCTCTCTGAAAAGACTCAGGGACAGCACAAAATATTTGCCCGCAGTAAGGCTGAGCGGAACTCTCGAGTGGCGAATAATGAACATCAAATGACGCGCAATTTTTGGGTCTTTTGTCATCCATTCAGTAGAGTAGGCAATATCACCGAGAGCTGCACTTTGTTGTTGCACCATTTCTGCCATCCAGCAGCACAGAAGAAAGGTTGGAAAGTTCAACAACAGATAGAACGAATACTGGATGAGTTGTGCATAGTCCCTGTGAATGAATGCCTAAACAAACAAGAACATTAAAATATGATTCTCCTTTATTGGTTTGAATTTTCACCTCTGAAACGAGAAATCCATTAATGGCGAACTGAATAACAGATTGACTGAGTTGTAGGAACATAGTCTTGTGAAAATAGCCGTCAATTCGTGCAACGAATTCGTAAATTCCTACGTGAGAATCAACAATGCACTTCAAACAACTGCATCTCTGCAATATATCTTCTCCTAGTGAATGACGGATTTTTCCTTCATGCGCTTGTATTCGGCTGCCTAGTTTAACCAGCTGTCCACAAATATGGGTAGTCAACAAAATGAAACATAAGTTGATGCCCATCTCTGTGATCCGAATTGCTAGAAGTGTTATCTCTCTGATGATGGAGATGCAAGCCAAAATGAATGCTTTATTGGAGAACGGCAAATCCTGGGAATCATCCGGTGTCGTCACTCGTTTCCTTGCAATAAAATTTTCGAATAGTTGAAGTCCAACTGAAGAGTGAAGTAAGCGATCAACACCAATAACTGTTATTTTTAATTACTACCCGAATTCACGTACCGATCAAACCGAAACCCTTTCCCATAACTACTATCCACGAAAAGAATCTTGAACGTCTGGCATAATGATGCAGGATTTCCGTATCTTCAAAAGAAACTGTCTTCCAATTTCCACGCATTTCTTCCAATATCGAGAGAAAAGTATTTGCATTCGAATAAAGTGAAATCAGAGAGGCTATGTAGGGAGTGAAAAATGAGATTGCAGACATGCGAGCTACGATTTCATTCATCCCGAGTACCATATCAATCGTAAATCCAACCATAATCAGCAATGCAGAAAAAAATCGGATTCTAGTCATTTTTCCAGTTTCCGGCCAGATCCCACTTGGCCAAAGAGCCAATCGAGCAAATTGAATTTCCCATTCGTAATTTTCATCACTTGAATACTCATGGAATGGTCTATTCCACATTCGACGAAGCCAGTCCATTTTGTGGATGCTCACTCTGCAATTCCAGGAGAAGTCCTCTTTGAAGTCCTCACTTTGTCATTTCAGTTTGGAGACTGACGCATGTTTTCGTCATCGAAGCCCGCGAAGGTGACAGCCATAAATGTAATTACTACACCAGGTAATTTGAGGAAACATTTGACTAAATTCAACTAATCAATGAGTATGCAACTCCGAGTATTGGGTTTTTGGATCGATTCTCTCATTAGCGATTTCGTTAAATAAATTTCGCTAATTATAGAGAACAAGGAATGGTTTCTATGGATATGAATACAACAACTGAGGTGAAAATGCAAGTGGGTCACTGTTTTACGATTTTACTTTGAAATACAAGCGCACTTCTGTGAATTGATGACACTCATTTGGGCATATTAATTATGAGTATTGACGTAAATAATACTAAGTTTAAGACTAACACTGCCACAAAAATGTAATGGAAATACCATATCCCTACTAAGTCCGAGAGAATAAGCTCATTGACCGCAAGATATAGGAAAACACAATTCAGTAGCGAAGTGGTCAAACGGTTCAAGTCAAAGTCTTTAGTTGAGTTTTCCAGAAATATTTTATAATTTAAGCGAGATAGCGAAATTTTTATAATAACCTTTTTTGTAGAGCGAATGGAGCGCTACTAAAAAGGTTATGAGAAAAATAGTGCTATCTCCCTTGGATTTCGAGATATTCATTGAAAACTGGCCAATACCCAATTGATAAACCGTTTGACCACTTGGCTACTGAATTATGCACGTTACTTTGGGATAGCAAGGAATTTGAAAAATCGGAGACAGAGCGATTTGTTTCAACACAAATATAATATTATTGAAATGAATAAGAAAAATTCAGATGAAGGATTTTATTTAATTTAAATGCATCACTTCTTTGGGTGTAAATGGAAAAATTTGCACATTGTTAAAAATTTTTGCCTGAACTTTTCAGAAATTTTCATCACATTCTAATTCCACTGATAAATAAATGAGAACTGTAAATTTCAGTTCAATTATTTCCTGATAATTGATAGAAATCAGGAAAATTTCGGTAAATTTATTCCTGAATCTTCAATTAATGGAAAATTCACCGTAATTTGACACTGAATATTCATAATTTCATAGAAAATTCGAATAGATTGAGGAATTCTCATCTCAATGCTGTTCAAAAAATGTGGAATTCTATTGAATTTTCAGTGATCTTTCCTCTTTCAAATGACATTGAGTATCACTTTCCTAAAAATTACTAGTCTACTAACCATAAAAACTAAATTTTTGAATATCGCTTTCCGTGAAAGTTGAATGCTCTAAGAAAAATCTCAAGTATAAATTACGTGACTGAACTCCTCCCACAAATATTGATCATTTTCTTGATTGATTTCCTTCGCAGGAATGATCACGTCATTAGGAAACCTCGGAATATTAGTTCTTGAAAAATTAAAATCATGCCTTCCGAGAATGTTTTAACCAACAACCGCCATAAATCACCCAATTCGAAACCCACATTTTTTCCGAGCCCATTTGTCCAGCTCGCGTGGCAGTCCCAATCCCGCTGTTCCCAACAAGAACTGGTGTCATGTTCATTTTCCGTGTTTCCATGGACACTCAATGCCCCCAGCCCATTGGAAACACATATGGTCTGACAGCAATAAAAAATACACATCCTGCACCGAGGATTCATCCTGCATTCCCTAGGCGAATTCATAATTCCACTACCTGTTGTCCAACCTGCTTCTAGATGCGTCATATTTATGGATGTGATTCGTGAAGAGGGACTCAAACTTATACGTGAACGGCATGATGAGCTTCAAAGTCGACTCATATGAATCACAAATATTGTCGAGAAATAATTGAAGGGGGCTTAGAATCACTCACCTGTCATTACAATTCTATCCACTTTCAACCATAAATGAATAATATCAGGAAAATGAAATCCACTGGGAAATGTTTAAATGTTTAAGTTTATTTAAAGCGTACGAAATAACGTTTTTATTCAATTTACAAATTTGTTTCGTTTGATGTTCTATTTATATTGAATATATGGTTGTTTATTGATAATAAATCTGTATTTGATCCAAATAAATTCTTCACTCATAATTTATAAATTTTGAAAAAGAAAATTTCTTTATTTGAATTTCTTTATTGTTGAAAACCAGGCAAACCACGAACTAAAAGAGAAAATACATTTTCCGTTTGAACTTGATAAAAATTTATTTGATGATTGTAATTTATTGTCGCTCCGGGATTGAAATTGACTGAAAAAAAATTGAAAGAAAAAAAGGAAATTATTATCAAGGGAAAATGAGGCCAAGTGAAACGGCCTTTTTCCTTCTCAAAGACCAAAAAAAAATTATTTTCTCAAAAAGTGGTTAAATGTGTACAATAAGTCGATTTTCCAAAATTGATTATCATTTTAGTGTTGAATCCCAGTTTCAGAGTTCAAGGAATTAAGTTTTTAAAATTCCCGGAATGACCAACCACTGACGGATAAACATAATTTGTTATTTTATCTTCCACGCTGACATTGAAGGTTATTTTTAATGACTGAAATTGGAATAATTTTACAAGTGTTGATTGTTCATTGGATGAGATACGGTTTGCTTTAAAAAATTATTTGAATTGATTTTCAATCCGCAACAACAAACATTATTCAAATCACTTGAACATTCCAGGAGATTTATGAAGAATTAGTCTGGGTATTGTATATAAATAGATGGGACTTATAGAATTATTATCAATTGAACACTTTAAATGCCTCTTTCAAATAATTGATAAATTTCTTAGAAAACTGATAAATATTTCGCTTTGAAACTGAACAACCTTCACTCATTCATTTTCTCTCCTTCAAGTGTACTACACAAGTATCACAGACGTTCTCACCGCCAACTTTGTCACACACAATATCATAATCGCGTCAAGCCGAATACCCCGACATCCCGAGCTTACCGCCCCCACTTTTCTCACCGAAAACTCCGCCACCAATCCCCACCCGCACCATTTCCTCACGAATGAATACCAAAACGCGTGAGTACTCCAATTATCCCTCATTCGAATCCAGCATTCCCCGGATAATCACACGACAAAGAGCGCACGCGCACGTGGAATATCTCCCCACCCATAATCCTTTTCGGTTATAATAAAAAGAAATAAAAAAAAGCAGAGATGAAGAAATGAATCGGCGCGCGGTGCGTAGCCCTTTGATGCTAATGCTGCTTGCGTGGGCACACACAAATCGAATTGCCTTTGCGTTTCATCACGTAGTAGTTTACATTTTGAAAGAAGAAATAATCATGGGAATGGGGAGAGAAAAAATATCGTCGGCATTTGGATGAGGGAATCGTACAAGGTGCGAGACTGATTATAATTTATGTATCAAGCCTCTAACGCTCTAGCCCCCCGCCGCCCCGCGCTGTCTACTCATCGTCCAATTTGAGGTGAGAGTTATCAAGACATGAGGAACTATCATAGTAAGGAGGATAATACATCCCAGCGTCTCGTTTATTCCCAGCGAATCCACCTCCGAGGGATTTGCAAACGAGAGGGCAGGGGGAAAAATGAAGGGAAAAAGGTAAAATGAAGGGATTATGTTAGCAAGATGAGTGGCATTAACTGAGGCACACCGGGGTTTACCGAGTGAAGAGATATATGCGCAAGTAAAAATCGATCGCGCGTACAAATTGCGATGTGCAAGAGGTGCGCTATTGGGGGGACGTTCTGTTGGACGTTACACGCGTAAAACGCACGTCGTCGACATGCCACAGGCGTGTTTTCTCAGCTGGCGCCCTCCACGAGACACAGTACGTATTCCTGGCGAGTTGATCGGTACACCGGCATCTACGTTTGAAAAAGCCTGAGGTTCCTTTGGGTATCACGGTCGGCTACCCGCAAAGACCGAATGCCTAGGATCCATTCAGCCACGTTATTACACGGAGAGAAAAATTCAATAAAGATTATCAGAAAAACAACGTAAAATAGTATATTTCGTAACGAGTGCAAAAAGGCGTTTTTTGGCGATTGGGAGGTTTATATCACGAGCCGCGGTTGCGGGGGGCTGGGGGGACCTGCGCGGTTTGTTTACTTTTGAGAAGCTTTGTGGAGATTTCTATTGAGGAATGGGATGAGTTAATTCTGGTGGTCACCTTTGAGTGAAATAATACGGAATAATATCCAACCCATAAGATATCAATATGATTAAGGCGATCATATCCCTCCCTCGCGCGAGACATCGTAGAAATACTCAATCGAAAAATCGCCTCATTTTTCAAAACCCTAAAAAAATGCTTGAGTTACTCAATTTGGACTGCCCCAACAATGGAATTTATTCTTTATATTTGATATTTCAAGTTAACTGTTCCAAGTATTATCCCGCATCATTAACGATTGCTCACTAATAATAGCGGCCTTGATGGCTCAGTAGATCGTGAACAGAGGTCGACAGGTATGCTTCAAAATCTAATGGACCATCATCAGATCGCCGAAGGCGGATAACTCCTGTTCGATTCACCCTGCTCATCGGCGTGAGCATTCCATTGACTGGGGGACACACATTGGCTGAATGCTCCCTGAATATCCCCCGTATATTTACCTCTTCATAAATCCCCCAATCGATCGGTAAACGTCGTTAAAAAGGCATACTGGGCTTCCCTGCAAGGAAACACCGGCCCCATGCACTCCAGCAACAGTGGATTCCTCTTGACAACAATCTTGAACTCGTCCTCATCGACTTTCCCATCACGATCGACGTCGATTGTCTTGAGCATCATCTCTATCAGATCCTAATTCACGGGATGGGGCAATGTCAACAGTCTTCGATATGAGGTACTGATGGATCGAGATTTACCCTGACTGCCTCGTCCGGATCCTCTTCCCCCTCCAGTTTGATCAGGCATCCCCTCATCATCGGGAATATCTGCTCTTTCTTTATCTTGTTCGTTCTCATCTGATCGTACACTGTGTACGCAAATTTGATGCGTTCGCTCATGGTGCCCCGGAGGATTATGGACAGGCCCTCGATCCATTGGTCCACGGGTAACTGCAGGGCTGTGCGGGTGTCAATGACTGAGAAGACTCTGTCTATCAATAAATGTCGGATGTTCTCGGTGTAGTCCAATCCCGAATGCATTATGTCTCGGAAGACTGAAATCGTCACTGGACCCATTTTTTCTCGGATTTTTTTGTGCATTACCGCTAATCCTGAAAGCAACCCATACGGAAAAATTTGTATTTTGAAAAATATTTTCAAAAATATCTTGAATTGGTCCCATTGATTAAAAAAAAAAATGAAAACATTCTGTATTTTATTTTAAAAAATACATAAATAAATCATAAATAAATAAATTCATAAATTTATTATGAATAAATTTATTTATTTTGTTTTTATATTTTCTTTTCATAAAAAAAATATGGAATTGGCCCATATAATATATATATTTTTTACATATTTTTCGATGGAGTTAAACCAAACAGCGACCTCAATTTTTCTATAACTACTCGAGAATTAACTACTGATGTATAATTTCAATGAATAATGTCCATCCTCATGGCTTCATTATCAATTAATTACTCTCCCTTATAGGTTAAACACCTTCAACTTCCTTTAAATTAAAATGCGTTGTCCTCGCCAACTTCTTAAATACAGATCGATTCTTCCTGATATACACAGTCTCCTGCGACGAGTCATTGAGCATGTCAATTGGCAGTTGCCTAGGCATTTTAACGATACGAAAAATACCAAAATTTCAACCAAAAAAATTCACCGAAACACTAAACCTAGAACAAGCGACAGTTGAAAGCAGTCGTAATAACTAACGTTATTCCCCTAATCCCTCCAAAAAGCCGTAATAAAAGTGTTTTGACTTCTGGACTCCCCAAAACAGTAAACCCGCCCAAGAATCTTCGCCTCCAAATAATTTGAATAAGCCCCAGTGGGCCATAATCTCAGATAAAGGATGAAAAAGAATGTTTAAAAATTTTTGTCTTCCTTCAGGCGGTAGTTAACCGAGCAGACGACACAGCCGAGGGTACATTGACAGTCAAGACGGTAGTAAAAGCCGGCGGCTGTAGCACCGCGAGGATGCGTTTACCGGTGGGTAATAAAAGGGCGCAGTCGTATAATACGGCGTGATAACCGATGAATTGTCGTTGAACCCCAAGAAGTGTTACGAAAACCGTTTGTATGTGGAAGACGCGGTGGTGTCGCCTGTCCCTCCGCTCTCCTCTCGCAAGACCTTACACAAAGAACGACCAATAAAGTCTCACCTAAGTATATCTAATGACATCATTTCACCGGGTTGAGCGCAATAAACTGACACAAAAGCCCCCGGGGATCGAGACGACTCTGTTGAGGACGAAACAGTTGATGATGAAAAAAAAGATGAATCAACAGTTAACAACGAATATGATCATCAGAAACCCGGCTCGACGGCATTTTGTTGCAAATTTCATGCGAGTCGAGATCGGACGGGTAAAAAGTTACATTGGAAACGTTTTTAATGTCTCCTGTGCCACTGGATGTTGCGAGAGAAAAAATTTGATTATTATGAGAGGAGACTTAGGGAGAATATTTACCGTGTACGGGGAAAAAAGATAAATTACCGGACAAGTCAAGTAGTCGGGGGGCGAAGTCCGTTTTCAGGAGACGAGTAGTGAGTTTTTTTCCATTGACTCGCGGAAATTTACTGAACGGGAGGGGAATTTGTGCTGAAGCTGTAAAATTTATCCTGCATTCCATCAAAAATTATTCCAGTGAACGTGAATGACGGCGGAGAATTTTTCGGTGATGGAGAATGATTTTTTAACGAACGTGTTCGGTAAAATTTCTCTTCCATTCGTCCGCATGATCTTAAGATGAGTGCAAGAAAAAAATAGTCTATCGGTGTAGGAAATTTTGCGGTATTTTCTCATTGAATTAATTCCATTTAATTGATCTCAATTTCATTTTTCATTGAATTAATAAAATTCAATAAAAGTTCTCCAAAATTCTTGGAATTTCAGGATTTTTTTAAGAAATTCCATGAAAATTGAGAGGAATCTGCAATTCAAGGAGAGATTTCTCTGAATTTTGCTGCTTTTCCATTAATTTTCGCGGAATAACTAAACCGAAATTTACAGTTTTCACGGATTTTCTAATGAAATTAGGAATTTTCAACAACAAAATGGCTTTAAAATTCAGTGGAACATTTTTTAACAATGGATTCATGTTTTAATTAGAAACTCAACTAATCCTCGTCTTCTTGCATCTAGAAAATTTTTAATTTCACTGAATTCCCACTGAAATTTGCCATTCCACGATGTTTTTACCCTTCCATCAAAATTAATGTCGTTCTCATGAAAATTACTACCTCACTGTTCATGTAATTTCAATAATTTCATAATAGTATACTAAATTTTCAGTCAATCAAACCAGAACATTACATCAACGCAAATTGTTTCCAATTCCAGAACCAATAACTTCCTCCAGAAAAAGTCGAAACTGAGAAGGCATAATTGTTAAATGCCTGTCCCATAAAATTTTTCGCCACAATGGTTCTGTCTGAGTCTAATAGATGGTACCCTGGACCATTGACTGCATAAACCTCCTTTCTCTTGAGTACCCCAGTGTATTAACAACCTACTCATTACGCACGGTTAAAGATAAATTACTGGCATACGCATTTTGCTGAAGAGCAAACAGGTTGGACGAAGGATCTGCCGCATTGTTTCGCATAAGTGGGCAAGCGAGGAATACTTTGGGAGGTATTTTATGAGGCAGAGGGCAACGCTGGTGGCTTGCATGTGGCATGTGGGGGTTCGATATGTTCTAAGCGAGCGTGTTGAGCACTTCTGAATATATATAATGTACAGAGTAACCAGACCAATACGTAGACACCGACCAAAAGATAGACGATTTCACCTTTTTTTAGTATTCTATAAAAAATATAATCGAAATTCTATTACAAATTTCCATTTTTGATAATAAAAGTAATGTATAATAATACGATGATTTTCTTATTTTTCATTGATGAACATTTTGAACGCGAAAAAAACAAATTCTCGCGAGGTACAGTATTGGCCCTCACGACGGTGTGAGTAGTTAGACAACAGTCACACAGTAAACCTATGGAGTTCTCTCAGATCAAGTGATTGTGATTCTTGCAAACAGCTCGAAAAATATAATTTTTGTGAAAGATATTAAATTTTCCCCTCAACTCAATCTGCTTTACTTCCTCAAATATTCTCCCGTGGAACATACAGTTTTCCGCAGAGCAAATTGTCCTCTCAGTGCACTCGATAAAAATTCCCCGAGTCCCTAAAACTTCATTCAAAAATTTTCAACACTCTTCTTCCGTCACACCCCACCAATTTCAGTTTGAATAATTTATGATAAAAAAATCACACTCGCCGAAGATAAATCACGAAAAATAGTTATTCGGCGCCCAGTGTTGTTTGATTTACAACCCGTCACTCCTGTTCCCGAGATTTTTTTACACGATTACAAATAGAATCCCAGACATATTATATTTCACAGCTGATGCGAGATGAGAAACCTCTTTCTCTAATTTCAACTGGACTCCCACTGGCACGCGCGTTGTTCTACACCCATACAAGTAATAACTTTGAGATTTGATTACCCCCAAAGTTAATGTCCAAAAAAATAATTCAAAACTCATTCTCCAAGGTTTGAGGTGAAAGATTGGGCAGGGGTGAGTGTTGGACAGTCTAGCCGCAGGGGGAGTAACAATAAATGACGGTTAAACCCCCCCCCCCCCCCCCCCCGCTTCCCCG